CCTATCTTCCTTTAATGTGCAAATAATGGTAAAGGTGTATTGAATATTACTTATCTTGTTTGTGCGCAAGAAACAAATCGGTCTCGCGTGTATAATTCTTGTATAGAAAAATTGAACGCTGTACACACAGTTCTTTTGTTTGCCATTTGACGTCGCCTCCTAGCTATAGGCTACGAATTTTAATCTTACCGTATCTAGGGGGACTTTGATCCATCGAATACCAATCTATTGTGCGAGTAAACGGGTTTTCCCGTCCTTTCCAGTTCTATTGCTGCCTATTTAGTCAGCTCTAGAACTTCGACAAATCCTTGTGAGCCGGGGCAAGACTGAGACATTATCAACGTATTCGTATCCACTTTGCAAACAGGCCTCCTTCACGGCACACGGAAAGCCCTCAGGCTTTCATACATGAATCTGACCAAAAAGACAATTATATATATTCTTACAGCATTCTAACATGTTTCGAAAAGTTATTCCCGGGCACAAAACCGCCTGGCCTTCACTTCCGGTGTTACCGGAAGTGCAATAAAATGAATCTAATTCGAAAACCGAAGCATTTTACTACAGACAATTACATTATGGATGTCTAAAAATTAATGTGGCCTGACGTTGCGAACTTAGCAAGTTCTTCTTCAGAGGCTAAAACAGAAATGACAGAGGTACATACATTAACATGGGGGTGCACACAAACATGCAGGGATGAGAGAAGAAACACAAAAGGAGGATTAGGTGGGAAAGGTGTGGAAAGATGCAGGGGAGGGTGGATGAGAGAACAAAGAAACAAAGGGAGATGGCAAACCACAAGGGGTCTGGTATGAACAGGGGAGGGACCAGAAAGGGGAAGGATCAAAGGTCACAGGGAGTGGGAACGGACAAAAGAGTGTGGGAGTGAAGGGGGATTATGCGGGGGGGGGGGGGAACAGTATGGAGGTGGAAAGGGATGAAAGATGGGGAAAGATGGGGAAACACAAACAATGAAGACCAGGTGGATTATCTGTAACAGAAGACAATGGAGGAAGAAAAATATTAATCATTTCCAAGTTGGATGTTGAGACCATGTGGTTGAATAGTTCGAAGACGATTCATCCACACTTTCTCTATGCTGAGGCGAACTGAGTCCTTGCGATGGCCAAGAGATTCAATGCCCAGCAAAATCATATCAGAAATGGAGTGGTTAGGCAGGTTGAAGTGATGACCAACAGGGGTGTCTAGTTTCTTGGTGTTGACCGTTGACCGGTGGGCATAGAAACGCTTCTTGAGCGTATTCTTATTCTCACCTACATACTGCACTCCACAGACCCTGCAAGAAATAAGATATATGACATTAGGGGTGTTACAAGTGATGTTACCAATGGTTCTGTGGGTAGTGACAGAAGAGTGGCCAGAAAAGGAGTCAGACTCCTGGATATGAATCTGGCAGACAACACATCTGGAACTGCACTTGAAAGTACCATGCTGGGTGGGAGGGGATGCATCTAAGGATGGGACTAAGGATGGGACATTATGGAAGTGTTAAATGAGTAATATCTAACACAAAAAAGCATAGTTTTAATATCTGCCGACAGGACACCCTGTAGCGGAACATCGAAAAGAATGTATTCTCTCCGGTCAGACTCAGTCCAGACTGTAGTCGATTTTGTTTGACTCGTGACTCGGCTTTGACTCGTGGTATTTAGACTTGGTCAGCTCGAACTCGGCTAGTGACTGACTCAGACTAGCTTTCGGACTCAAATCGAGTCCATAACAGAACTGTTTAGTCTTGAAAAACCTTTAAATTGTTTTAAAATTGTTCTACCTCAGTTGTATGATCACTTTTAATTCTTGTTTTTGGAAGTCTCACTTAGATACGGCATTAGGCTTTGGATAAATTGCAAGAGACTGCTTTCCCAGCTAACCAAAAAACGTTGCAAAAACTTTCTCATAACGTTACGGTAATGTTCCCAGAACGTTTGAAAATAACGTTATGGGAACGTAAATGTGTAGAGTTCTCTTGACGTTCTTAGGACGTTACAAAAAAACGTTACGAAATAACATTTGTACAACCTTCACAGGACGTTGGCAAGAGACGTTCTTGTAACGTTACAGGCAAACGTTACGAAATAACATTCATACCACCTTCAGAGGACGTTGGCAAGATCGAAAAATCTACTGTTTGAACTCTCATTATGTGCACTGTGACAAAGTATTGAAAAAAGACAAATACAACAAACTGAATTAACTTATCAGCCATTTTATTTCTCATTTTATTTAACGTTTTTATTATAAAATAACTAAAGTTGAACCCTGATAAGAAGAGCCCCCTGATACATTCCGCTTATATAACAAGCAAAATATTAGGCCCAACAGTTTGTTTTCCAATACTGCTAATACAAAGTACTTGTTATATAACAATGTAATTTGTAAAGTCACATCGACCGTGTTATAAAGGTGTGTATTTCAAACACTTACACGAATCCAAAAGAGAACTTAACTACGATGCTCTTTCTTTTTGCAATTCATGCAGAAACATTTAACACATAATGCTTCATGGTCCTTAATGGACAGAATGTTTCAATCTGACTCCACTTTTTTCTTCATATACAGGTACATGTATCATCTCGATAGGTCTGAGAAACATAACGGAACTGAGAAACATTTTCAATTCTGCTAGGAAACACTTAATACATGTTCTTGACTCTCCATAGATGACCGCTGAGATGGCGTCAGGATACTAAATTCTTTCTTTTGAATTTATTTAATGAAATGGAGGCCATTCAACGTCTTTCAAAATGATGTCAAATTTGGCTACTACGTCATAGGCTACTAATCGGAGATTGATACTGCTTAAGTGTGTTAAAGTTCGCAGGTCATGCATGCTTATTCATAGTTCATTAACCTCCATGTATATCTCAAACAACTACAAATTACAAATACAATAATACAATGTACATTTTTCATAAAGGCCAATAATAACACTAAATATCGTTTTAACAACTATGTCCAGACAAACATCTTCACTAACTTTTTAATTACCACCTGTAAAAATATACACTGTTTGGCAAGTTGGTTTTGGGTTTGAAAGCGAAACTACCTTTTACTTCGTAGTATAATGAGTCAATGTTGAATGCCCAAATATATATATTTGTCCTAGTAAGAAAAATGGAGCACTACATTTTTTTATGTCTGATTTTTTTTTATTGAGGAAGAAGTAAATTGGCACACTTAACACAGTTTGGCAAGTTGGTTTTAGGTTTGGAATCCCAAATATATTTGATGTATACTAGTCATATATTTTTCATCTGGACCAGCGATGAGGACAGTCTCTTGACCTTCACTAACCACATCAATTCCTTCCACAGAACCATCAAATTCACATCGGAGTTCTCGGCTCACCAAACCCACTTTCTGGATGTCACCGTCCGCAAGCAAGGCAACTCACTAACCACTGACCTGTATTCCAAACCCACAGACACCCACCAGTACCTCCACTCCTCCAGCTGTCACCCCAGGCACTGCAAAACTGGCATAGCGTTTAGCCAGGCACTCAGACTCAGAAGAATTTGTTCTAATGATTCCGATTTCTCCCGCCATACACAGATACTGAGGAACAACTTGGTGGCCAGGGGTCACAGCTCTCGCCAGAAATCTAGCTCTCACGGGAAAGGCCCCTGATGCCATGGCCAAACCCATGATTCCCTTGGTTACCACGTTTCACCCCAATCTCCCTCCCCTTCGCAAAATCACTAATGACAATCATCATATCCTCCATACTTCAGATCGCCTTGCCCGCGCCATCCCCAACGGCCCCACATTGGCTTACAGGCGTCCTCGAAATCTACGGGACTTGATTGTTCGAGCTGAAGTCCCATCCTTAGATGCATCCCCTCCCACCCAGCATGGTACTTTCAAGTGCAGTTCCAGATGTGTTGTCTGCCAGATTCATATCCAGGAGTCTGACTCCTTTTCTGGCCACTCTTCTGTCACTACCCACAGAACCATTGGTAACATCACTTGTAACACCCCTAATGTCATATATCTTATTTCTTGCAGGGTCTGTGGAGTGCAGTATGTAGGTGAGACTAAGAATACGCTCAAGAAGCGTTTCTATGCCCACCGGTCAACGGTCAACACCAAGAAACTAGACACCCCTGTTGGTCATCACTTCAACCTGCCTAACCACTCCATTTCTGATATGATTTTGCAGGGCATTGAATCTCTTGGCCATCGCAAGGACTCAGTTCGCCTCAGCAGAGAGAAAGTGTGGATGAATCGTCTTCGAACTATTCAACCACATGGTCTCAACATCCAACTTGGAAATGATTAATATTTTTCTTCCTCCGTTGTCTTCTGTTACAGATAATCCACCTGGTCTTCATTGTTTGTGTTTCCCCATCTGTCCCCATCTTTCATCCCTTTCCACCTCCATACTGTTCCCCCCCCCCCCCCCCCCCCCCCGCATAATCCCCCTTCACTCCCACACTCTTTTGTCCGTTCCCACTCCCTGTGACCTTTGATCCTTCCCCTTTCTGGTCCCTCCCCTGTTCATACCAGACCCCTTGTGGTTTGCCATCTCCCTTTGTTTCTTTGTTCTCTCATCCACCCTCCCCTGCATCTTTCCACACCTTTCGCACCTAATCCTCCTTTTGTGTTTCTTCTTTCATCCCTGCATGTTTGTGTGCACCCCCATGTTAATGTATGTACCTCTGTCATTTCTGTTTTAGCCTCTGAAGAAGAACTTGCTAAGTTCGCAACGTCAGGCCACATTAATTTTTAGAGTCATATATTGAAGTAGATTAGCACACCATACTATACACGTACATGGATACTGTTTGGCAAGTTGGTTTAAGTTTGAAAGCCCAAATATATCCTAATTCTTCCAAGTATTAGAGTAAATAATGTAGCACCATCTTTTATGTGCTATTATGTACTTATTGAGGAAGAAGTAGATTAGCACACTTAACATATACATGAACACTTTTTGGCAAGATTGTTTCAGGTTTGGAAGCTCAAATATATTCTAATCTTTTATCTATTTTTTTTTTTTTTGGGGGGGGGGGGTGTTGTTACCAATCATTTTCAGTTGGGCTAGTCATCAAAGTCGGTGGTGGCCTCATCTGGTGTTGCGATCGTGTTGGCATCAGGATTCTGTGAAGTTAAAAGATAAATGAACTTTTCAAATATCAGAATAAATACAACAAAAAACAGACACCAAAAGAAAACCTGACATTTTTGGAAACTTATAATAATTTTTTACCCAATCCGCTTCTTGCAGGAACAAAAGATTGCATTTTTTTTACATAGTAACAACGTCCCTTTCCTAGTGTGTGCATAGGTTCATACATGTTTGGCGTTGGACTCGGTGACAACATGCCGCCAGTTAGTCTTTGCCCGTGCACAATGCAGCAAGTTGAAATTTTCCCTACCAGCAGCTCTTGTCTAAATTTGTAGGGGGGGGGGGAGGTACTTGTAGCCAGAGCGGACAGTTGCTGTCAATGAAAAGTACAGTCCGGTTTTTTTTCCGCAGTGTTTCAAATGCATCATATCTGGTTGAAGTAATACGTTTCCTGAAATCAAAGTAGACAATATTCAAGTGTTCTACATGTATATGTTATACGTGTACATGTACATGTATTTGACCAACAGAAGAACAATACAAAACAATGGACATGCCAAAAAGTGAACACGTTTTATTGACTGTCAGGATAGTTTTTGTTTTCAAGCTAAAGTATTTTCAACCAAATTCCAATGTGCACAGTCGACTCTCGTAAATACACAATAAACTGGCACTGTAGAGCTGATTAAATTGTATTATATATCCTGACATACATATCCTTGTCATTTGCTTGGTGGAACTCACATCACGTGATATTCGTTAATTACTCCCATTCCCTCCGGGGCTCAAAAATTCCCATTCGCCCATGGGGAATGGGAAATACTATTTGACAGTTATAGGATCATCTTTGTTCCATGCCGCGGTATTAGTGCAAATGCATGCTGGTGTGCGCGTTCATCAATGCACGTAGCATGTATTGTCCTAAAGAGCCAGCGCGACAGTAGCTGGGTTCAAACATTTTCATGAAGGGATGGTTTGGAAGACAGAAAGACATTTGTTTTACCAATTTCACGTTGAAATGAGATTTCCAAAATATCAAATGACAAGGATCTAAATGTCAATAATATAAAACAAACATTGAGCGGCTTTATATTGTGAAATGGGAGGAATATTATCGCTCGGTAAAATCTGGATTTTCTTTTCCCAGTTCACTCCGCTTCGCCTAAGGAAATGGAGAAGTACAGATTTTGCCTTTCAATAATATTCCTCCCTTCACTCGGAGTCACTTAATATTTGTGTTTTGACAAGACTAGACTTTATGCGTGTGAAAACTGAAAATGCAACAAGAGAAACGTACCTTGTACTTTGCCCCACCCTTTCGGTTTGGGCAGTACTTGAGAGTCTCTTGGATGGTTTCTTCAATTTCCAAGACTCGGCTTTTTGGGTGGGCACTCAGACAGGCTTCTACAAGAACGGTTGAAGAAGATGTCAACATTTTAATAATTTTCAATAACTGGCATCTGATATATGAAGTTTATAAAAAAAATTCTTTCTTGAAAAAAAATGAATGAATTTACATGTACTTAAAGAAATTTCAAGGAAATCAAATAAACGCAGCTTACTGATTAACACCCGGGAGATTTGAAGATCGCTCAGAGCTCTTTTCCCCTTTCGTCCCTTGTAGCTGTAAAGGGACCACAGCATATTTGTCCCTAGCCTGCGTAGCATGCGGCGGACACTCTCGCCAAGGTTGTAGCCTCCCATGGAAGTAAAGTGACGAATCTGAAGGAAAAATATACAATGAGACAATTGTGTGGCGTAAATACATGCTACAAGTGCGAGTGACACAGCCGGTGGAGTGAACTACCAAAACTATTCACATCAGTCATGCTTAAGTTTGAATTTTTATTTGCGGACAGCAGCTTAACATGTCCTTGTGTCTCTTCCTCAGGGTTCGTCAGTAACAAACATCAGCAAATACCTATAAAACAAATGTCCCTCGGTCATATATCAACTGCTCCCGGAGGCCCTCTGGGTTTAAGAAAAATACATGAATTTACAAGACAGCAATTTACCATCTGTTTTTGAAGTTGGCCTCTTCAGGAGAATTCAGCTTTTCACATAGGTCCTCCAGTTCTGCGACAGTTTCCAGAGGTTTTGGAGTAAATTCTTCGATGTCCTCATCATCAGGAGCTCGGAGCCTGGCCACTTTCCTCAAGAGGCACAACTCCTCTTTTTGGTTGTCCAAAATCATGTCTAATTTGACATGAAGGCTCTGATCTAAAACATTAAAGCAAAGGTTGTTGTGAAAGCTTAACAACTATTAATAGTTGCACTTCAGTCAGACCACAAAAAAAGAAAGAAAAATCTTGACGATTTCGGTGGCTTGTCCGTAAAAAACGCCAGTTCCAACGGCTGTCTTCCATTTTGTTTTACTAATCATGTAAATGTATGCATCACATGATGACATCAAAGAAAATCTGCGCCCGCGATGTATGTGGGTACCACACCGCTTTCAGGCGCCGCAAGTGAGTTCAATTTTCGTCTGGTGCATTGCCGTGGAGGGCATTCTCGTTGTCTTGCTTTCCGCGACAACGCACCAGACGAAAATTGAACTCACTTGCAGCGCCTGAAAGTGGTGTGGTACCCACATATATCGCGCGCGCAGATTTTTTTTATGCCATCACGTGATGCATACATTTACATAATTAGTAAAACAAAATGGAAGACACCCGTTGGAACTGGCATATTTTTTACGGACAAGCCACCAAAATCGTCAAGATTTTTCACTCTTTTTTGTGGTCTGTTTCAAGTCGATCATTAGCATGATTAGGCTTCGTAAATGACTGCTGAATGTATTAGGTATGTAAATTAACTCTGGGGTGGGATAAAAGATAGCTGGAGTTACCCAGCCCTAAATTTTTTCATTGGGTTGTCATTTAGGGCTGGAGCTAGTTTTTCACGTAACCCAGCAGCGTAGGCTGTTTCATGCACTATTGGTTGCGGTTCCAGTACCGCAGCTGTGATGCGAGTGGTAAACCTCATATTAGTGCATGAAACAGTCATTGGGTGTTACGCTTCCGCGTGACGTCATGCGCCAACAGCCAGCGCAGCCGGCAAAAACGACTAGTTGACAGCGCGCTGTGCCTGGTAATCGACCGCCATTCATTGTACACAATTTTTTTTGTGCACAAACCAATTGCGGTCCTGGCCATGCCTGCAAGGTTGTCAGGTTAGCGGTTATTCCTCCTTTTTTCACTGCAATTGTAGGCTGAATCTTCATCCTGGATCGTTTTTTACTTCAAGTACCTGTGTAATGGTTATTCCAGGCACGTTTGGGGTGAGTTGCAGTTGCAATTAGTGTGTAACGGGGACAAACTTGAAAAAAAAATTTTAGGACCTGCCTACGCTGCTGGGTTACGTGAAAAATTAGCTCCAGCCCTAAATGACAACCAAATGAAAAAATTTAGGGCTGGGTAACTCTAGCCCCATAAATGTGGCCTATTTAGGCGAGCCATCAGATAACAGACCGTTCGGGTACCGGGTCCGGTATGCTAATTTCTTTCACCCCAATCGGTACGAAGCCAGAAGCCACCCGGTCACTGAAGCGTGACGCCCCAATCGGTCCAAACTGGTGACTCAGGGTTTGACAATAGGCAACATAAATTGAAGTCTGGCCATTGTTGGAGGATTATTCGGCCCACTGGGATTCGGCAACTTCTATGAAGCTCATCACAGTCATTATTGCCTACTGGAGGATTAGCGCGTCGCAAATTGGTTCCTTTGTGATGAGCCAGAACCATGGTGCAGAAGCCTGGTGGAGTTAATCCAGGCCGATCGGTTCCATGCAAGGTCCCAATCCCTTCAACATACTGGGCGGGCTCATCCCCGAACGGTCTGGGGAGGGATTCTAATTTGAGGGCTCGCCTTACTGGACTGCCTCATGTACAAAAATCGTGTCGACGGAGCCAAATTTTGATTTTCACATTTAGGCTTAGTTTGTAGGTTTTTTTTGCTTTAGAAGCATACTCACCCTCTTTACAGGCTAATCAGAAAGTGCTGCCTTTTTCAGATGTCTAATTTTTGTGAAATTTCATGTTGAAATTTTGATACGCAAACGTGTAAAAATGAATCTGGAAATTTCACGAAAAATATACATCTGAAAAAGGCAGCACTTTCTGATTAGCCTATAAAGAGGGTGAGTATGCTTCTAAAGCAAAAAAAACCTACAAACTAAGCCTAAATGTGAAAATCAAAATTTGGCTCCGTCGACAAGATTTATGTACATGTGGATGTGTGGCCTATGTTTACGGAGGCAGTCCAGTAAATAGGCCACATTTATGGGGCTAGGGTAACTCCAGCTAGATAAAAGAGGTGAAATTTGGACAATTTTGGAGAGGCCTTTTTTTAGGGTCTCTTGCTACCACATTCTAACGAACAGGTTATTCCTCCAGCGTTACATGTGAATGAATATGGAACATCAGCTGGAGTTACTCGCCTAGCTAGGCCTACTCATAATGTTGGAAAAAAATCACGCAAAATACTTGCCAAAATACCTTTCAAATCATTTACTGGCTTCCACACGTATCAAAGACGAAGTAATGGGGCTTCAATGATACTCACAATTGTTTTTGTGGTTGAAAAATCCATGAAATTTAACCAGCATGTATATTCGGCACGTTGTGCACGTTTAGCCTATGCCGAGTTTAATACTGACCTACATGTACCTGAATTTCATGACTGAGAAAACTGTTATAAGAAGCACGTGGAATGTAAAAATAAAAAGTCCTACATGTGGTATAAACAATCTTGCTTTAGATTACTTACTTTGTTGTGAAGGTGCTGAAAGGATGTGTTTGATATGACAAGATAATTATCAGACATCGCATCACAATCGAACAATCCACTTCCACAATTTAATTCACCGCGCTTCTTGCATGCATATAATGTGCAACGTCGTCGACCGTCTCAGCTGGTTCTCCAACAGTACATTTGTATGGCGGGTACCGGGTAGAGCACTCCATTACATCGCGATGGCGATGAGTGTGTGTGGGAACCATCGCAGCTAGCTGGTACGCGGTGACACGATGCGAGCGCGGGACCATTTTTCTAGTACATTCGACACTGACTTAAACATACTACGATACTGATGAGTTGAACGGCCGTCTTGTTAAATTTTGGCGTCTTGATGATTTGGAGTTTTGAAACAAGATGGCCGTTCAAATTGTGAAATAAATGATTCTGTGTCTTATGTCGATATCAACGTTTTTGGAACATCATCAGAACGTAACAGTAAAACGTTACATTTAGACGTCCGTAAAACAATATTCAGACGTTGTTGATAACATTGTTTGAATGGTACAATGCAACATTTTTTTCTAACGTCTGCATAACGTTCAGGTGACGTTTTTAAATAACGTGTTCCAATTGTTACGATGTAACGTTTCTTTCAAACGTCCGCATAACGTTCAGCTGCCGTTTTTACAGAACGTGTCACAAATGTTACAATGTAATGTTTCTTTCTTACGTCTGCATAACGTTCAGATGACGTTTTTAGAGAACGTGTTACAATTGTTATAATAAAACGTTTCTTTGAAACGTCTGCATAACGTTCAAATGACGTTTTAGAGAACGTGTTACAATTGTTACAATGAAACGTTTCCTTCAAACGTCTGCATAACGTTCAGCGGACGTTGTTACAGAACAAGTTACAATTGTTACAATGTAACGTTTCTTTCAAACGTCTGCGTAACGTTTAGGGGACGTTTTTACAGAACGTTACCGAAGGTAACTTTCCAGGAACGTTATGAAAACGTTATGTGTTAGCTGGGTTGACAGTCATTTTAATTATTTTAAATCAACTTGTGCGCCCCGTAAAACATTACTCCCAGTACTGTCCCACTGTTTCCATCATTCTATTATTGACTAACGCGTATAATATATATTTTTGATACGGACTTAATTGATACATTTATGTGTTCTGTTTTAATACGTCTTCACAACTGGACTCGGACTCGACTAGCACTTGACAGTTTTGACCCGGACTTCAGCCGCAACCGGCCAAAAGTCGACTCGTACTAGGCTTCTAATCGGACCTTCTTGGACTTGACTCGACTCGGACGAATTAGACTCGACTACATCACTGGAAAATACTGTTATGTTTAGAAAACAATATTGGCCTACATGCACAGCAACCAAATTCCACATAAACTAGCCCTTTTTCAGCAGCTTCGCTTGAATGATGGATAGTATTCAGACCCGTACTTAGCCTTGACCAAGGCGTTGGGCTTATCGATTCGCCGATAAAAAAATATCGCCGATAAGAAAATCTCTTATCAACTTGGCAAGGCATAATTGCGTGCACATATATCGATGCCTGTACGCTGCTAGTGAGAAAGTAACTTGTACCGTACCATACAGCGAGGCTATGCTTGCACGTACGCACGTACACACACGTACATGTACTCGTACAACAGCCATGCACACACAGTGCATGCTTGAGCTAGTCCGCGTAACCCAACGCCTTGATGGTTTTGATTTGACCCAGCAAAACCTATTACGGTAATGAGGTACCACCCCCCGCGTATACTGAATTCTCATTGGTCAGCCCGCGATAGGCTAACAAACACGTCGCATCCGCGAAGAAACGCTGCAATGGCGGCCCGTTACTGTGGGTGAAAGTCGTTCAGTCCCAGTCTGTCCGAAGCAGTATTGAAGGCTCCAACGAATTCTGCAGGTAATGCTGTCATTAGACGATCGTTGCCCACTCAAAATGGATTCATTTCACGAGCCGAAAACTCGAATCAATGTCAAATTGTTGAAAAAGTGACGAACATTTCGCTCTCGCTAAAAAGACATGGAAGACGCCATGATGACTATTGCGTTATGCATGCCGCGCGACGTCACATGATTCTTGTGAAGCTTACAATTGGTCAGCTTAAAAATGAATTAATCATACTATTGGGAAGGTTGTTTCATGTGATTGGTCCAAGACGAACCAACATAATCATCACGGCATATCCTGGAGCCCGCCCATTTTTTTTCCAAAACTGGACGAAAAGGTAAAGAAAGACATTAAACCCTGAAGTTGCAGATCCAACAAGGCGGTCGTTCGACAGGCCACGCGGCGCGTATATCCCCCACACGCACGTACGTACACCCACACGCAGAACACAGTAGGCCTACATTTACTGCCTTATTACACCATGCGTACATGTACAGTCCGTACTCACGTGTGTGTGCTTGCTGGTTGTGTTAGTACCGAACCGTTCGTATACGGACAAGGGTCGGTGGTACACGCACGTAGCCGCGTTGATTGTGGGTGCTTGGCCCGATTATCTCCCTTCGACAAAAAGCCGAGAGACCGCATTGAACAAGGCTAACCCGTACTCAGGAAAACAACCTGAATGTAGTTCACAGTGGTCTCGTGTTGAGGAAGTTCTTTGCCCAAGCTGATTCTGAAGTGTTGTTTGCTTCACGAAGATCAGCTGCCCTGCCGTGTATGCTTCTATTAATAGAACACTGGAAAAACCCGAGATGTACAAAGTTGCAAAAAGCGTTTTTGAAAGGGGGTGATTTCCAAACGAATCACCGTAACTCACAGCAGTTTGAAACATTTTAAAAAGATTGCCTTGGATCGGGAGGTTTAGTATGTGTAAAAACATATCTAAATGATTCATAAATTCTAAATGTTCATATCTAAATGATTTTGATGCGAACAAAATAATTGAAGTTAATTATGCTCTATGGCAGTCTCTATCGAGAAAGATATGTTTATAGAATGAACACACTATTTTAAGTCTGATAGTGTTCAATACAATACGGAAAGTTGTTGTGAAGTTAACATCCCCACCACCCAAATGGAATTTTCAGTAAAAAGGATTTCAGTGGACCCAATAAAAGTGAGTCCGGTAGCCGACCACCGCACAAAGCTTCGAAATCAACTTGCGCTGAACACCGTGGTACACTTTTTCTAAGTCTGAGGTCTTTTCGTCTTTAAAACGTCAAGGTACCGGTGATAAGGCCTAAGGGCCTATAATCCGGGAAAAACAGTTTTCTACGAGACGTAAGTTTCACTGTTAAATATGCCGAAACATCCCCTTTTTTCGTTAAGATTTTCCAGTCATTTTTTGCCTATTGCATTTGTACATGTTTTTTAGTCCCCGGCACTTTGGCACTGAAATCAATCCGGTTGCCTTTATACCTGGCACCCACATAGACCACCACCGCATATGTTTTCCGAACATTCACGTCCTCGTGACGTCATCACGAGTAACGTGGCGTTACACTTAATGTGCATATTTCGAAGGCCTATATCCCCAGAACTTCTTGTCCGATTTGGTTCAAAGTTGGTATGCCCTTAGCCCGGGATGTGTTATAGAAAAAAAAAATGAGGTGACGGCATGATGACATCATCATGGCCATGGGTAATGTGACGTCACGTTAAATATTAATAGGTGTAATCTTTGAAAATGAATATAAAATCAACCGTGAGAGACCTGAACATGACTCTTGTGGCAATTGATAGAATAATCCAGTGCCTTCAATTTTGATATTCCATGCAGTATGACGTGACCCTTCCAGTTAAAATCGAAAGTGCCTTGTAATTTAAAATTGTTAAAACATGTAAACTTGATTTCAACGAATTATGGTGTTGCTAAGTTGTTCTTTACAAACAAATTAACGTTGAACTCATCAAATGTTAAAGCTCCCTCTAACGTCAGTTTGAAAATGTTTAAATGAATAATCAGTTGATGAATGTGGCGAAGTTTGCTGAAATCATTTGTGTTAGTAATGTATGCAACAAGCCTCATGCTAAACATATTTGAATTGGGGATTGATGACGTCATCAAACCTGAAGTTACCATGAAAATACCTTTTAACCTTAAAACATTACTGAAAAATCAACCGCGAGAGATTTAATCCAAATTTTTGCTTCAATTTGCACAGTTAATTAAGCTCTCAGTCTTTCTGGTAATCACGTCACCATGACATCATTTAAGTATCAGATTGCAAGCAACCAAAGATTTCTAGATTTAATCTTTGAAAATCAATATAACATCAACTGTCAGAGATTTTTATTTTACTTTCAAAATCACGTGACCCTTCCTACCGGTTGAAACCGGAAGTGCATTGTTATTAATTGAACTACAGGTCCGATTGGGTTGAAGGTACCTAGACAGGATGTGTTGTAGACGAAATTTGATGGGAGGTCATGATGACGTCATCACGTGACATGTGACGTCACAATTCAAAGTCCTATATGACAATATAGTGACATATATGCCAGCACTTATTATAAACAGAGCTAGGCTCTACACATTCTTCCAGGATGGAACTTATAGAGGAATCCCATAACGACGAGTTTTTGCGTCAATCTGCGCACTTCCGGGCATGAAAACGAGGCTGGCTGTGTCAGCAAAGAAATGTGCGTTTACCGTCACATGCACAACGTGTGCTCCTTTTCTGTGATCAACTGTCTGTGTTTGCTATAAAGTACAACTTAAAGTATGATTCAATCGTGTCGAGATAAATATCATTCAAAGGTAGTGTTAAATGAGAAAATGTCAGTCTGTAAAATCGAAACTTAAAGTCTAATTTGAAGTGAAATATGTGTATGTTTTCGAAAATCGAACGTCTGCATTCATCATGCTAATGATCCTTGACTTGTGCTGCATGTAACACGACATTCAAATGTTATTCCAAACAAAGGGATTTTTGTATATGATTGTAGTTAACAAGTAAAAGATGTAATTGAGATCCATTGATAGTGCCACGTGTTGAACGCGACGAAACGGCTACCGTACATGTAT